TAGGTGTGGGGGTCTTAGGCTGTTTTACAAAGCAAATTGATTAAAGGAGGTCCTGGAATCTGATCACATTACCTCAGAGACTTCTGTCTCAAAAGCAACATCGATTTTACCCTCCCAAAATGATAAACACCCTATAAGGTGTTTAAACTAACACTAAGATATTTGCACACATAGGTTCATATTGCACACAGAGGATTATTCATGATTGCCAAAAGGTGGAAGTCAATAAAGTTTCAACTGAGAGAAGCAAAGTGTGGTCTGACCACACAACAGAATGGCATCCAGCCCTAGAAAACCAATCAAGTACTGAGACGTGCTGCAGTCTGGATGAAACTTGAAGGCATGATCAAAGAAGCCAGTCGCACTAAGGAAGGTGGAACATGCATGTTTGAGGCCAACTTGGGCTACACAGTGAAACCTGTCTCAAAACAACAAAGCCAGTCACAAAGGGACAAACATTGGGTGACTCCACTTATATCAGGTTCCTGAAGTATTCAAAACTGTAAAGAAAGTGGTAATGGGCAGTGGCTGGGGGTAGGGAAATAGGGAAGTCACTGTTTGGAACAGTTTCCTTTATGGAAGATAGTTAGGAGGATCAAAACTTCAAAGTCACAGCAAGTTTGAAGCCAGCCCAGGCTACACAAGACAGTGTCTCAAGAAATGAAAACAAACAAACTCAAATCCCAGAGATTTATTTCCTAATGTTCTGGAAGCTCAAAAGTATAACATGAAGGGGCCCAGATCTGACAAGGGCCTTCTTTTTTATTCTTATTTTATGTGTATGGGTGGTCTGCCTGCATGTATGTCTGTTCACCACATGCATGAAATAAGTGCCCACATGGGCCAGAAGAGGGTGTAAGTAAATGGTGGGCAAGTAAATGGTAGCAAACAGCTGCAAGATAATATGGAGGCAGTTAGTGCCATGACCTGTATACATGAAACGGCTAAGATGGATAACTTTATGTTATGTGTTGACATTTCCCTCAGTGCAACAGAGGCCGGACCGTACAAAGTGATTAGGTCATAGTCTAATAGATTACTATCACATGAGGGAGGTGGCTTGTTGCCTTGAACGTGTGTTTGTGATTCAAGTGAATCTGCTTCTTCTGTCACTCACTCACTCTCTTGCTGTGGTGATGATGTAACAAGAAGGTCCCCCCATGGGGCTGGAGAAATGGCTCAGGGGTTAAGATGGCTGCTCTTCCAAGGATTCTGAGTTCAATTCCCAGCACCCATATTATGGCTCACAAGGGGCGGTTCCTCTAGTTCTGGGGGATCTGATGCCCTCTTCCGGCCTCTGTGCAAGGCACCTGTGTTTGTCGTTTCTGAGACAGCCTCACATAGTCCAGGCTGACCTCAGACTTTGTGTAACTGAACTTCTCACCCTCCTACCTTCATCTCCCAAGTGCCAGGATGACAGGTATGACAGGTACAGTTTATGTAGTGTTGGGAATCTAACCAGGGATTCCTCATATATCCTCATACAGCATGTTCTCAACCAACTGAGCTACATCCCTATCCAAGTCTCTGTTCTTTATGAATGACCAAATCTTAGATATCCTGTAGATATCACAGACATATGAAATGGGCTAAACATTATGCATATTTTACTATACTTTTATAGTTACTAAGGATGTTTAAAGCAACTCTCTGGAGTGTGGGGTGAAGGAGCACAGTTCCCTGGAGAGCAGAAAGGGCATAAAGTTCTGTTCTCTTCTCCTATGTCATGTCTTATATATTTCCTCCATCTGTCCATCTATCTGCATCCCTTATAATAACTGATAAACAGTACCAAAAGCTTGTAGGTCATGAATACTTACCCTACCAGGCCTGAGAGCACCAGATCCTGGGATACCTTTCCATTTTCCACCAATTAGCCACTGTCTTCGGTTGTTGATGTTTGCTTATGTTTTTGTTCTTTTCAACAGGGCCTCATTGTAGCCCATGATGGCTAGCCTTGAACCCCTGATCCTTCTACCTCTATCTCCCAAGAGCTGGGATTCCAGTTGTGCATTATCACTCTTAGTTTAGTCTGCTGTTTTCAACAAGGAAATCGATCCGATCTACATGGTTCCTAGGGCTTGATGTCTTTCTGGCCACTTCCCAGGAAGATCTGGCCAAGGTCCTGTGCCCAACTCTAGACAGATTTAATTCTCCCGACTATTCTTAGGACACTGTGGATATGAATTCTTGGCCATGTTCCTTGTGATACCATAATGCAGGATAAAAACATAGCCTACCAACGGGGAAGGATGTTTTCAAAACTAGTTTCACACAAAGAAAGCTGATTAAGGTTGTGTGATAGCAGTTGGAGGGCAGAGGGGTAGCTCAGCAAGTCCTCTCCAAACGGCTGCAGCGGGCACTGTTGTCCAGGAAGGTATTCATTCAGTAAGACTACAGCAGTGCTATCTACAGCCAGCTCCAGACCAAGGTCCTGAGGGGTGGGGGGCAGGGGGTGGAGTGGCAGGGGGTGACTTCCAGAGAACAATATTGATAGGCAGCTGTTTGAAGAAAGTTTAATCTCTAAATAACCTTTAATGGGGAAGCAAGGCAACTTGAGGGCCAGTTTTATCTCGAAGGCTTTTGGCTTGTTTCGCAGCATATACTATCTTCCTGTGCATGGAAACTCTCTATGAGAAGATCCACACCGAAGAACATCTCCAAATACACTGAAGAACAGAGGGAGAAGATGCATTCTCCCCAAGGCCTCCTGCTGACACACCCACAAATAGACTTTTGAGCTGTTGAAGCTGCCACAGAGAAGATGGAAGTGTGAGCAGAAAGGAAACTAAAGAATTAAAGAGCTCACTTCAGTAGTGATCTTTGTCTCTCCACGGATCAAATGTGTCCCTGCCTCCTTTCCAAAGCACCAGTCCCTTGCATCTGCTGCCAGAGCCACTGTGCCTTTTACTCCAAGGACTGCCTCTCTATAATTCTACATCCAGAGTGACTGCTCATCACTCAGTATTCACTTTGTGTCTCCAAGTTTAGCAGGACTCTGGAATCTTCTGGTTCATTTCTAAGAAATCACAATGACGCATTTCACTTTAAAACATTTCAAAGCCATTGGAAAAGTATGCAGTTGGTTAGTTCGACTTTTATTTCACACTTGCCACCAGCCATTGCTTCCCTTCACCCACTGGGCTAGTTTCCTAGGTGGCTTTAGACTCTAAGTCATATGGTATCTCAGCGACTCCCCAAAATTACCAAAAGGTTTTTCTCTGGAGGATGTATTGTTTGCGATTTTACTGAGGAATCTCCTAGTTTTCAATGAATTGCCAATTTTATCATGAAAGAAAATCTTTAGTTCTACTATTTAGTTTCTCAAACTGAAAGGTCACTAAAAAAAATAATGTATACTGTGATTATAAGACTTATTCTTAACTAAAGGAGTATTGAATGCAATTTCCAGTGATTTTCTTTGGAGATTTTTTTGTTATCGTGAATTACCTCAAATTGTTGGGCAGATATAGTATGTGTTCATTGGACAAGTAAGTGAACACAGTAAGTGGGTGGTCAGCCATTAAAGACATGCATATGCCCACTCTGCCTGATACGTAATAAGCAGGTGGTAAACATTTTAACTATAGTTTTGCTATAAACATAATTTAACTATACAGGCAGACTACAATTCACAGACTCTACACACACCATATTCAATGCACAACACCTTAGGATTAGTTTGTAAAGTTGTAGCTTCTGTGTTAAATCTGCAAGTTCCAGTCAATATTTCCAACTCTTGCTTTATCTCTCCTTATGCCCTTCATTCTTAGAGGTTTTGAAAGCACTGTATTTGGGAGAAAATTAAGAAATGTATTATGGAAAATGAAGCAGTTAAAAGTTTAACTTCCAGAGATAGTGATCTTTAAGATTTGCTTTCTCAGCCTTTTAGGAATTCAATAAATCCCTTAGATCTGTGCATTAATTTAATTGTATAAAACCCATTTCTTACTCTACAGCTTATAAGTGTGTCTGTCTGACTTTTAAGCCCCTTCCAAAAACTTTGCTGAAACAGTAACACAGTATTTAAACTTTTTTAAATTGAAAATCTATTTTTTATACAATATATTCTAATCACGGTTTCCCCTCCCTCAACACCCAGATCTTCCTATCTCCCCACCCATCTAATCCCACACTTTCTCCCCTTAAAAAAACAGACATCTTAAAACAACAAACAAGGTAATAAAAGAGTTTGCCGTGTACCCACATCTAGAGATGACTATAGATGATGCCCAGTTGTAGGGAGGGAAAGGTGTTAACAAGGGTTTAAGACAGATGCTCCCTGCTGCTGCTGGTCTAGGAATTTTTAGATTTTAAGTGTGACGGCAGGGGTTCCTGTTGTCTTTTCCTGTCCCATGGTTTCAGTCAGACTCTCCCTAGTCCATTAGAAATGTTCAGTGAATTGGAACTTCTAAAGAAAAGGCTCTCCTTCGTCCTGGGGTGTTCCTGTGTAAATAGCCCGATGAGCAGCTCCTCTTCGAACCAACACATCTAAGACACAAGACTTGGACGACAGAAAAGTACCCTGTACTAGACTGAAAACAGCAGTTTTAAATGGCACATACACACACACCACCATCATCACCCAACACACATAGATACTCAGCGACAAATAAAAAGTAAAACGTATACAACCTAAATACTGATATAATGTGTATGAGAACCCTAGACACGCAAATAGAAACTATCAGCGCCACTGCCATCATCATCTCCATTACCATTACAGCAGAAATGTGACACGTGCCAGTTCTGCAGGCTGAGTGGCAGACGCTGGCAACTGCCACCTAGTGGCGCCAACGCTAAGAATACAAGAGCAGGTTGGGCGGGGCCTCAACAGCCGGGCACCGGAAAGAGAGACCCTGAGCAGTGCGCAGCCTCAATGCACCACCTCGGCCAGAGTGGGCGGTCCGAATGGGTTTGCCCAGGTTCCGTCAAATACCGCGAGAGTGCTAATCCCGTACCTAGCCCCTCCCTCCTTATAGGCTAAGTCCTGCCCTGGGCCCGCCCTTGGAGGCACAGGCCCCGCCTCTCGGGCAATGCGTTTCCGGCGTTGTAACGCGGCGCTGGTTGGCTGGCGAGGCGGAGAGCATGGCGGCGTCCGTGCTGGGCTCGCTGCTGCGGACTTTCCGGCAGGTCAGGCCCTTGCCTTTCTCGCCAGCCCACTTCTCACCCCTGAATCCCGTGTCCTGTGGGTTCCCCCGTACCCTGTCAGCTGTAATGCGCACGGAGGACCAATCCCAGGGCTCCGTCCACCTGCTTTCCCCTTCCGCCTTGGTTGGGAGAGGCCTAAGCGGCAAACGGGAATTTGACATTCAAGTGTGGAGCGGTGATTGGAAAGCTAAGAGGTTGACTCCGATTTCATGGAACTCCGTGTAAATGGAGAAGAAAGGGGGTCGGAGGATTGAGGCCTCGGAGGCTCCGACCGTGCAAGGGAGCTAACTGTCAGGGAGGGCAGCCAAAGCCACATGTGGTGGCTTGGAAGCAGGTGGTGACAGAATTTCGAACACAGAGCAGGCCATTCCGCTAAAACTGAAAGGTTAAAGAAAGGACTGGGAATTGCCTGTAGATTTGAGGAGTGGCAGTGTTGTGATGCGGACAGAAACTGGGAGAAATAGCAAAGGAAATTGGAGAAGTCTTTGAGAGAGTTTTGCTAGGGAGGGGTGTCAACGAGAGGGAGACCTGAGTTGTTTTTCCTTTATCGTGACAAAACAACATCGTGTTAGAGGGAGAGGTCCACTTGAGTGGGAAACATTGATGATAGAGAGGACAGGGAAGAATCGCCGGAGCTCTGCCTCTCTGCAGGCAGGAGGTGACGTAGGGTCTTGTGTTTGAAGTTTGATCGCAGGCAGGTACGTGGACAAGTCACGTGTAGCAGTTTTGTCCAGTAGAAATATAATGCCAACCACAGGGGTGATTTTCATTTTTTCTAGTATTTACATTGAAGTTAGAAAGTAGGTGCATTTTTAGCCAGGTATATCCATATTTTAACAAGTCAAGATTAGGATGATTTATGAGACATTGACATTCCTCTGTTGGAAACAGGTTTTCAAAATCTTATTTGTATCGTACTTAAAGCATATTACAGTTGGGATGCTAAATTTTGCATCATCATAGTGGAAAATACAGTTGTACCCAAAACAAAGTTGCTTGATATTTGAAAATTGAAGTGAATTAATAGCAAGAATTATGTCCCCAGTTGTACTGCTTACAGCCATATCCATGGTTAGTGGTCACTGTAATGGACAGAGTTGACATAACTGGAGAGGGTATAGAGTGTAGTGCAAATGCTGCTGAGTAGATAGATACGGTAGTGGGAGTTTGGAAAGTCTCTTTAGATTGTTTCTGATTTTATAGCTAAGGAACATTGAAGTCATCAGAACATGAGGGTGTGGGGCAGGGGACAATGATTTAAGAAAGGACATTCCTGCAAATTGTCCTGATTTCTACATGTGTTGTATGCACATGCACACACAAATAAATAAATGTAATATATTATTATTATTATTATTTTTAATACTAAGTCTTGGGCTGATGAGATGGCTCAGTGGGTAAAATACTTGCCACCAAGCCTGCGGAGTTCAAATCCAAGAACCCATGTGGTGGAGGAGAGAACTGACTCACAAAAGTTGTCCTCTGACCTTCACATACATACACACACACACACACACACACACACACACACACACACACACACGTGTACACACACACAGAACTGATTCACAAAAGTTGTCATCTGACCTCCACACACAATGCCCATCCATACACAAGCACATGTATGCATGCATATGTGTCAAATAAGTATAATTTATTTTATTGCTAAAAGTCATAAGTAGTGACTGAAAGAACTTTATGGATTGGAAAAACACTTGCAGTACCCATGGTCTGGTCTCTGTCTTTTAGGCGGTTCCTCCATCTGCATCAAGTCAGGTTCGAGGTTACTATGTAGACTGGAAAATGTTGCGTGATGTGAAGAGACGAAAAATGGCTTATGAGTATGCAGATGAGAGACTTCGGATAAATTCTCTCAGAAAGAACACCATTTTGCCAAAAGACCTTCAGGTTAGCCAGTTGAGTCCCTTTCTTTCACAAAATCATTAATTGACATCATTTCAGATTCTTTTTGATACTGTTTTATTGCAACTTAGTATTACTATAATTTCTGGAGAATAAATAAGATCAAATGCTCAAGTCAACATAAACAGTCTTAAAATCAACTTTGGTGAATTTAGGATAAAAGAAAACTATTCATTTCTTCCTGGTTCTTTAGCCATTTTATTATACAATCCCTAGCAGGTATTAGTGAGTGGTGGCCACATAGAAACTGAGAAGTATATTGATGCAAGGTCTCCCCAGCCTCAGCCCAGTCTTGGAACCTTCAAGGCATTTGAAGGTATTGCTGATGCATGGGCTGTATGCAGAACACATGACCTGTGGTCCTTACTCGGGACCTGCCTTCCTGAACCCTTGCCCCTTCCATGTCCATGGTTAGGCAGTCTTCCATTTAGCCTGCCTTTCTTGACATGTACTTCTGGTGAAATAAAAGGACGTTGATCCTGTTTGGCTTCCTGCGGCATATGGTTTTACACTTAAGTGGTGACAGAGTACATGTACTGAAGACGCTTGTAGGAAATTATAAACTCAAGGCTATTTACCTTACTGAAAGTTCATAGAAAAAAAAAACAACATTTATACAAATTGGCAGAATGATTTAGTCTGTTTTGTATTCTTTTTTCCCCCACTTTGGTTTTTCCAGACAGGGTTTCTCTGTGTAATCCTGTCATCAATACCTGGCTGTTATATTATATTCTTTCAAATCTCATCTGGTTTAAATTAAATCACTAGAAAACTGAGTTCCCAGGAGCACTCTGCTGTGGCTTTTACTACAGTGGCATTACAGTTCCACTTAAGACAGCAAAGAAGAAGGCCTTGACAACTCAGCTCAAGACACCTTTGATCACGGAAGCATGAGTAAAATGGTGGCTGCCAAGAGCTGGGAGTCAATAGGGTCAAACTCAGTTGGTCAACAGGGACACACTTGGGGTATTAAGGTGAATAAATGCTACCTAAAATATAGCTTACTAGTCATTCTAAACTTGAAATTTGCCAAGAGTAGACAGATAATACATACAAAAACTATGAGCCAAATGACATTGATTAGCTTGATTGTGGTAACCATCTCACAATATGCCAGTATATAATAATTAAATATATACAAATTGTCTATTAAGCCATAGGGTAAATGAGTGAGCTATTTCTGAAGAACACCGTCCCGCCCCACCCCCACCCCCACCCCCTACCACACACACACACCCCAAAAATAAATGCCTCTAGTGTGAGTACCAGCAATAGCAGTGCAGACTGAGCCATCCAAACTGATCAGGGCCGTCTGATGCTTACAAGTTAAATTTATGTCCAGTTCCAGCAGGTTTTCCCAACTTTCTTTCCTGCTTTCATCTTCCTTGTCCAAGTATCATCTGTAAACTACTTTTTATTTTTGAGGAAAAGAAGGGTATGCATAGGTAAGTGCACATTCTTATAGCACGTTCATTGACCTTGTGTTGTTTTATGTGATTCTCTACATACTTCATGTCAGTGAGTGTATAAGCTTTTGGACATCAGAAGCTTTGAATGCTCAATTATTTAATTTAATGGTTTTCCTAGGTATCATTTGAATTTTTGTCCTTTTAAATGTTACTGTACTTTTTTTGTGTCTTCCACAGTCTGTCACAGGGTCAGTGATATGTGCCAGTACATCTGACAAAGTGGTATAAGTACACATATTAACAAACTCTTATGTAAGAATAAATATTTACTGACAACCTGAGCCTAATCTGCCATACTTTATCCTCTCAATTACTTACCAGTTTCATAGGCATTATGTGTACAAGATTCATAGACATTGCAAATATTTTTTTTCATGTAAATCTTGTCTGATCACCTTTATTTCTGCAGTACTCAGAATCTTTATCTTAAGACTTTGAGGCTCTTGGGAATCCAACTTTGTACTCGTCTCAAGCCATGGTCTTTCCTACTGTTTCATCAGCTCAGAGGTTTCAAGCTTTCATACTTCAAAAAATTAATGTGTGTCTATATGGGGGCAATAAATGCATTCACATATTTTTTTCTAAATGACCTCAACATGGATGTTTGGAGCAGCATTATTCACAATAGCTCAAAACTGGAAGCTACTCAGATTTCCAGCAGCTATAGAATAGATAAAGGAATTCCAGCCCCTCAACAAAACTAGCACCAAGGAGACTGAGCATATTAATGACACTTGGAACAGTGTAGGTGGTCTCACAAGCATATTGTTGAGTAAAAAAGCCAAACAAATGAACAGAAAGAGAAAAGGCTATATGAGCATATTACATGCAATTTACAATAGGGAAATGTGTACTTGCGATGTTAGTGAGCCTGTTAGCTGTTGGCCAGTACCCTTAGAAGGGAAACACAGATAAAGTCTTCGGTGCTGATAATGTTATTTTGTAATTCAATGCTAGCTACACGGTATATGTTGTTTATAAAAATATACTGAACTGTCATTATGGTTTGTAGATTCTTCTCATTGCTTTAATCATTAAAATCATATTGGAAAACATCAAACATTTCTGGTTTGTTTCTACTCAAAGATTAAGGCTTACTACTACATCCAGTGTTTGGCTAAGATTCTAGCCCATCCTTCCTTTGCTTTAGGTACTGAGATGTGATCTGTGTTATGATTTCCTCCTAGGAAATGGCTAGTGAAGAAATTGCTGCCCTTCCACGGGATAGCTGTCCTGTGAGAATCAGAAATCGGTGTGTTATGACATCCCGTCCACGTGGTGTAAAGCGTCGCTGGAGGCTTAGTCGAATTGTCTTCCGCCACTTAGCTGACCATGGGCTGCTTTCTGGAGTTCAGCGAGCAATATGGTAAATCAGCTGCCCGGGAAGCCAATCCTGGCAATAGAGACTTTACTAATAGACTAAAGTTTTTATCGGGTCTAGTATGTTTAGTCTACCTGATACTGTTGACAGTTAAATTACTTTTAGATTTTTAAATAACGAAATGTGGTGATTTGTCATTGAATTGTCTTTTCTCTTTAATTTTACAATAGGCATATTACTCTTATACAAGGGATGAGTGGAATAAAAATATTTTCTGTGGAAGTATGGTGTTTTCCTTCAAGTTTGATGTTTAGTAACAGAATAACGTGTTTTTTAATAGTGATTTCACAAAACAGTTATAGACATCCCAGCTAATTGACAAGTTGCTTTTCTATGGCATTGTACCCCTGGGCTAGCTTCCCTGGCCAGCAATTAATACCACCTTTGGAATAACAGTAGATAGCAAGTTAAAGAGGATATTTTAGATTACATTTAGTGTCAACTTTTTGTGACAGTAAGTAACTGCTAAATAGCTTTTTGTTTCATCTTTTTAAAGTGTTTATTTATCTGCATGTAAATCTGTGCTCCATGTGTGTACCTGGTACTCAAGAGGCCAGATGAGGGCATTGGATCCCAAATTACAAACAATTGTGTTGGGAATTGAATTGGGGTCATTTGGAAGAGTAGCCAGTGTTCTTGACCACTGAGCCATCTCTCCACCCTCTAGTTGTCCATCTTTTAATTGTTATATTAATCAGTGAGTTCCGATAGGGCTAGCCTGATCTTTGCATTTAAAACTCACCTGTTGTCAGAGGCTTACACATTTCACTAATGACTGTTTACCCTGATCTTCTCATTAGATTTTCTAATTCTATCTTTGCTCATCAGCTTCTCTTTTTCTTTGTAGAGAACTTTCCCTATCAAGAATTACTAAAATGTATTTCTTAATGTGTAATAAATTTTCATAGTAAACAAGTTGGTACACATACCAATAAAAATGGAAACAAATTCATTCTTCATTTCTGTGAACTTTGAAATTTGTATACAGTGGTGCTTCAGTTCACTCTGCTCGTTCTTACTCATGCTCATTGTCTTATTACCAGTGGAAGTCCCTTGACATTTGTACCCTGCAAATAAGGTTATTTATTATGTCTTTACTTACTGACATAAAAGCCTATTTAGCTCATCTGTTTCCTGATTCAGACATTTGTCTTTAGGGATCCCTGGTTCTTAAAAGGAATGTTTAGACCACAAGATGCACTAGAGTTAACTCACAGCTACTAAGTTGTCACTACTTTACTAGGAATTTTTGTTTTGTTTTCAAGATTTATTTTTAATTATGTGTATATGTATGCATGGGGGGTGGTAAGTGCCTGGGGAGGCCAGAGGTGTCAGATACCACTGGAGCTGGGGTTAAGTCTTGTAAGCCACTAGGTGTTGGAAACTGAACTGCGGTTCTATGACAGTTGTTCACGTTGAGCCATCCATCCAATCCTAGAAATAGGGGCGGGGAGTAGGGGGAACTGGAGGGATGGCTCAATAGAGAATGCTTACTGCTCTTCCAGGGGACCAGAGTTAAGTTCCTAGCACCCACATTGGACAGCTCATAACCACTTATAATTCAGCTCCCTGGGGAATCCAACATTTCTGGCAGCCTCAGACAACCACGCTGACATGTAAATACCCACACATGTAAACATAATTCAAAAATAATAAAAATAACCTTTAAAAAAATCAACTCTTAATGTCACCAGCTTACTTTTATCACAATATATAAAAATTCAAGTATATTACTAGTACCACTAATTATGGCACAAAATTATTTAGAATCCATCTCACTAGTGATGGACAAATGATATTCTAAAGATGCTTGAGAATAACTTGTACTAAACTCAGTGTACATACTATTGTTTAAATAGTTGTGTCTCCAAAGTGTATATTGAAATTTAATGCCCAGTCCATGGTATTAAGAGGTACAGCCTTTAGGAAGTAAGGCCATAGTTTCACCTTCATGAATGAGATCAGTGCCCTGGGAGCTCCTGGAGGACTGAGTTCATCCCTTTTGCATCCTCTGACAAAGCCCTTATTAATCAACCACCAAATAGATTGGCCCTTGATCTGGACTTGCTAATCTCCAGAATGGTGAGAAATGTTTCTATCATTTCCATAAATTACATAGCAGAAATGGACCAAAGTGAGTTGGGCTTTGTTTTTCAACTATTTTCAATAGTTCTAAGGTCAACATTGTCCATTTCTGCTATAATATAATCTACCATAATAAAATTAGTCCCTGTTAATATTTGTTCCCAACTCTTTGTATATATCATTCTAATTTTGTTTTTCTGTTCCATAATCCCTAGAATTTTTCAAGTTAAGATAGACTCCAGCCAGGTAGTGGTGGCACACACCTTTAATCCCAGCACTCAGGAGGCAGAGACAGGCAGATCTATGTGAGTTCAAGGCCAGCCAGGGCTACACAGAGAAACCCTGTCTCAAAAAACCAAAACAAACAAACAAAAACACCAGACATCTAATTATGACAGGTATTAGCAATATGAGCTTAACCTTTTCATTCTTTTCCCATCTATGCATCTATTTTTCATAATCTAAACATGAAATTTAATGTTCTTATATAAAATCCAGTGGAGTTTTCCCCAATGTAAGTTAAGGGTGGTATAGTTTTTATTAGTACTTTCTAGAACAGAGTAAGCATATTTTCGATGTTCTTCAAAGTAGCATGCACAGCATACATGTTTTGAGCTACTCATACATCTTATCTTCTCGTCCAGATCCACTGATCCTCTTCTTCCCAACTATATGTCACTTTCCTCACTCCTAGTTTTTATCTCTATGAACAATTTATTCGTAATTATTGGAAACCTCTCAGTATGTCATCAGTTTTTGGTTGTGTGTGTTTTCCCATGTATTTTCCTTTCATACTTTTTTTTTTCCCCAAGACAGGGTTTCTCTGTGTAGCTTTTGGAGCCTGTCCTGGAACTCACTTTGTAGACCAGGCTGACCTCGAACTCACAAGAGATTCACCTGCCTCTGCCTCCTGAATGCTGGAATTAAAGGCGTGCGCCACCACAGCCCAGCCTCCTTTTATACTTTTAATCACGACTTTTCCTTCACTCTTAGGTCATAATGGAATTCCTCTCTTCTGGTACTTGTATACTTAGGTCATAATGGAATTCCTCTCTTCTGGTACTTGTATACTTCATTTTTGATGACATAAATGTGGACAATATGGCTGTTTTAAGTTCTATCAATATCAACTCATCTTCCCCTACCAAAATACCACTCTTACTGTATTCTGAATCTTCTAATACGCAATCTAGTTTGTTCCACAGGTCTGTTTATTTCATGTTTCAGTACCACAGTTCTGGAGGCATTATAGTCCCAACCACCCTTTCTGTATGTTAGTTTTAAGTTCTTGCCTTTTCCCTAATTCTTAATTGTAGTTGTAGTGGTTCTTCTGGAACTCTAGAAGCTTTTTCTTCTAGGCATCTAATTGCTTTCTTTTTGGTGGTGAGCTTATTAGCCTTCAACAGCTGAGCCAATCCAGCCCTTCTTGCTTTCTGCATGTTACTGCAGTAAATGCAGTTACAGCCTAATTTTTCAAATACACTATAAAACAGATAGCAAAACTGATCTTTTACGTAAAACTTGAACTTTATTGAACAAAGGAATAGATAAACTGTTGCATCATGGTTATATTTTTATAAGCCAGCTGCTCCACGGCAGTACTTACAACGTAAGATGTTTGTCTGTTTTTGTCATTTGTATTTTGTTTAAATTTTATATTCATAAGTATACTTAAATCAATTAGTATACATGGTAGCGCATGGCACACTCATTGTTTAAGGTGGTAATAATGGGTAACAGGTATATCGTAACTTGCAAGTTTGTGTACAAATTTGAATCTTATGCAAAAATTTTGGTTTTAATTTTACATTATGGGAGATGATGTCAGTTATAGGCAAATATTTTGTTTTTTACCTTTCAGCCAGAACAAAAGTAACATTTTCATCATGTAAGATTTCTTTTTTACATTTCAGTAAATGTAAAACCTTTTCTTAACAAAATGACTATGATGCTAATGAAGGAAATGTTTAATAAGCATATTTACTTAAATCAAATCCTCCAGTAAGAAATAGAGAATTTGCTGTCTTTACTTATAAGGCTGTGTAAATAGTTATCTGTCAAATTTTATGTGCAGTTCAACAACATTCCCTTACTGGGAACATGAGTGTTCCATATCACAGTTCCCAAGGGACTTAAAAGTCTCAAAATTCCGTGTCTTCTCTGGCTTGCTTCTCTCTAGATTCCACCCACGCTTTATTAATGGTTCGCTTCATGTCATCGTCTCCATCTTCATAGATTTTCTTTAGAACGTTCATTAACCCCTCACTGGGATCTGTTTCAGCGTCGTAGGAAGGCTTTCTATGAAAAAGAAAACAGTGTACAATGAAAAAATGCAGCATGGAAAGACATTCTTCGATTGTAACTGGTAGGAAGGAGAAGAGCAGAGAGAAAGGATGCTAGAGTATACAACCAGAATAGCTTGTCTAGGTTCATCCTGGTAAAACTTCATTACCACGTGTGCACAGTACACAAAGGAGAGAAAGCCACATGGCAAGGACTGACAATGAGGCAGTGAGATTTCAGGAGGAAATACATAAATGTGAATAATTTTTCCAGCTTGTTGATTTTTACAAGCATGTTTCTTCACATTAAAAAACTAATGAGAGCTGGGCGGTGGTGGCCCACGCCTTTATTCCTAGCACTTGGGAGGCAGAGCCAGGTAGATCTCTGGTAGAGTTCGAGGCCAGCCTGGTCTACAAAGCGAGTTCCAGCACAACCAGGCCTGTTACCCAGAGAAACCTTGTCTCAAAAAACAAAGCAAAGCAAACAAACAAAAAACAAAAACTATTGAGGAAAACACTACATACATGCATCATGGTATGGATACATAGTGAGATCCATGGAACTTGGCCTAGTGTTGAGGTTACAGTCTATATGGTAAGCAATTCTAGTTCAATGAATGTCCAAACAGCCAATCAGCTTTACATTTACTTTTTGAAATAGGTCTCATTATTTAAGCTCAGGCTTGCTTAAATCAACTCCCCAAGTAGTCAAATATTCCTAACTCTAGCCTACCACATCCCTACTGCATTTTGGCTACCAGGGGAGGAGCGACAAAAACTACAAACTATAGGAGCGCACTTTAAACCCATCCACAGTGCAAGTCATCTGGGAGGTTTTTTAAAAGTCATTTAGGAGGATAAAAAATAAAACTGGATGTGGTAGTAAATGCATATAATCTCATTACTTGAGACACAAAAGAATTGAGCTACATAGCAGGACTTTAAAAAAAAAGGAAAAGGTATCCTTGTCACATAAAATCAATGATAGTGAAACCAACTACACCTCAGACATCTCAGGAATCAAATGATTTGGGTGGCTGAACTCTTCAAATTCTTAGAGCAAAATTATCTGAGATCAGGCCACAGTACCTACAGACACACCAATATGCCCAGGAATAACATAATGCTAAAGAACAAGCTATACAATGATTGTCTTGGACCTGCCCTTGCCCTCCTCAATAGGCTCTGACAGGCTGAGCATAGTAGCACATACCTTTAATCCCAGCACTCGGGAGGCAGAGGCAGGCGAATCTCTGTTAGTTCAAGGCCAGCCTGGCAAGTTCTAGGACAGCCAAACTACATACTAGAGAGAACCTGTCTCAAAAAAGATTCTGACAGGTGAAAGCAGATGTAAGTCGAACAGGTTGTCCAGAAGACATCAGGAGATAATGCTTGTACAACTATTATCCATAAAATGAAACCAGAACCCCAGATAAAAGTTAGTAAAATTATTCAAGTAAACTTACTCTTTCTCTTTGCATTCTTTTTCCACCTGAGTTAAGTAGTCCCATCGTGTGTTTTCTGCTTTCTTTCTACATAAGATGATTACTGTATCAGTCTTGACCTGGAAGAAAAGGAGAGGAGTGGGAGCTTGTAACATAGAAATAAGCACAACTATTTAGAAAACAGTAATTTACCCAACCAAGTGCCTAGTACATTAATACTTATTCTGGGCTATCCAAGACTCTATTTGAAAAGACTCTTGGGCTGAACCTACCTCGGTTTAATGAGTAAAACTCATGTGCACATGTCCTGGTTGATTTTTGTTTGTGTCAACTTGACACAAGCTAGAGTATCTAGAAAGAGGAACCTCAATTGAGAAAGTGCCTCCATCAGATAGCCTGTTGGCAAGTCTGTAAGGCATTTTCTTGACTGACAAGAAGTATAAGCCCTAGGCAGATAGTCTTGGGTTGCATAAGAAAGAAGGCTGAGCAAGCCCCAAAGAAGAAGCCAGTATGCTTACTCCATGACCTTTCCTCCATGGCCTCTGCTTCTGTTCGTGCCCTGAGTTCCCTTCATGACTGACTATGATATGCACGTTACTTTTGGTCTTGGTGTTTTATCACAGCAATAGAAACTTAACTAGGACAGCATGTCATGCAAACATGAGGACCTGAATTCAGAAATCCAGAACCCAAGTAAAAAAGCCAGGCATGGTCATACACAACTGTCGTCCAAGCACTCCTACGGCGAGATGGAGACAGGAAATGCAAGAAGCTTGTGGGCCAGGTAGCCTGGTGCATATATATAGTGGTGAACTAACAAGAGACTCTGTCCCAAACAAGGTGGAAGGTGAGGACTGACATGAGTGTCTTCTGATCTCCACATGTACACCATGGTGTGTGTATACAAGCATACATGCATGCACACACACAAAGACTTAAAGAGAATGTTAATGGGAAGTATGGGAAGAACCTCATTAGAGGGCTTCTCTAGGACAAAATGTGAACCAAGTGAAACCTAAGACCTGAAAGGAAGACACTACAGACAGCTAGCAGAGCAAAAAGAATAGCTCCTCGATGAAACAGTTATGGTGTGTTGAAAGGACTGGGTGGATCCCGGTGATTTAAGGAAAAATCGAGGGTAAAGTGTCTGAAGGGAGAGCAAGGAAGGGGAAACAACTTTTTAACTCAACAGTGATCAGTGTAACTCTGACGCCTTGATTATTCCTTCCCTATGAGACTAACAAATGAGATTACTGCAGAGAGAACTGGCTACTTAACACACTGCTTTTATTACTACTTTTAAACAAATATCTAACATGGAAGAATTACATGTCTATACATCTGATATACTAAGCATCACTTTTTTCTTTTCTTTTTGTGGTTTTTTTGAGACAGGGTTTCCCATGTAGTTTTGGTGCCTGTCCTGGATCTTGCTCTGTAGACCAGGCTGGCCTCAACTCAGAGATCAGTCTGGCTCTGACTCCCGAGTGCTGGGATTAAAGGCATGCGCCACCACCGCCCGGCCTACATCTGATATATTAAGCATTACTTTTTAAACTGGAAAGAAAAGTAGGGTTGGAGCAACAGGGTTTTTTGTTTGTTTGTTTGTTTGTTTGTTTTTAAATGAAAACTTCCTTGTTTTTTACAGCTTCAACTAAGCTAAGTACTTAGAGGTCCTTATATGTATCACAAATTTACATATAATACACCTAATGCGATCCTATTTATCAGTGTACCAGTCCTACTTTGTACAGATGGGGAAAGTGAGGCAAAGAGCCGCCAGGGGTTACAACTAAGTGATGAACAAAGCTGGCATTAAAACTCAACTCTTACCCACCTAGAACATTTCTCCTTAATTTTAATGCAATTTCCTTAGAATATATTCTACAATCAATTGGCAAGCTGTCTTCGAAGGGCCAAACAGTAAATCATCTATTTTACATTTCATGGGCTAAACGATCTATTTTGCCACTCTAGTGGAGCAGCAGACACCAAAAGTACTTAAGAATGGTTAAGAAACTACTTACAGATCAGGCAGTGAACTGCACTTTACCGGTACCAGATACAGCAGAAAATTTTTAGTTCATCTCTACCCTAAGTCAGCCAGATTCAATTTAATGAAGTTTTTACAATATTTTGACCAAAAATAATAATACTCACTTTTTTTGAACTGCTTTCCACAGAGATGGGTTTCAAAAGATTGTTCACAATCATGGAGTAATTCTTGCCATTGAGATTTTTTACCAAAAGATCAAATGACCTACAACACAACAGGGAATGCATTATCATCTTTCTGGTTCTATGACAGGCACTCTATGGTTCTTGAGAGAGTAAGTCACCAGCTTTAGTTTAGGGCAATAGTTCTCAGTTTTCTTAACACTGTGACCCTTCAATACAGTTCTTCATGTTGTGGTGACCCCCAACCATAACATTATGTTCATTGCCACATTACTGTAATTTTGCTGTTAAGAATCACAATGAGGGGCTGGAGAGATGGCTCAGAGGTTAAGAGCACTGACTGCTCTTCCAGAGGTCCTGAGTTCAATTCCCAGCAACCACATGGGGGCTCACAACCATCTGTAGTGAGATCTGGTGCCCTCTTCTGGCCTGCAGTCATACATGCTGTATACATAATAAATAAATAAATCTTTAAAAAAAAAAAAAAAAAGAATCACAATGAAAATATATGCTATATGGGATATCTGATATGCAACCCCTGTGAAAGGGTCATTTGACCTTCCAAAGAGGTCGTGACCCACAGGTTGATAACTGGATTGGTATGTAGACTTGATTGTTCCACTTCTTTCAACTAAGGTTATAGTTAATGCTAAATTTCAGCAGCATTTTGGAAGCCATCCAGAAGACAAGATTCCCATGATAAGGCAATGTTCGTTGTACTTTCCAGTAACAAGAACTCACCTCTCTGTGAAGTGTACCTGCACATTCTCAGTGGGAACCTGATGAACTCCAGTTAAGGTAATGTAGATTTTCACAAACTTATCTGACTGATCCCATCCTAGCAAAACAAAGATGGACAGGCATATCAGAAACTATTTATGCTTATCATAAAACTCAGTTACAGGAGCTGAAAGATGGCTCAGCAGTTAAAAGCACTGGCTGTTCTCCCTAGAGACCCAGAGTTCAAAGCCTAGCACCAATATGGCCGTTACAGCATCTGCAACTCTAGTCCCAGGGCTTCAGACATCCTCTTCTAGACTCTGAGGCATGCAGGTAATGCTGACATACATGTAAACAAAACACCCATACACATAATAAAATAAATCACAGTAACAGAGACATGCAAAAAACTAAAGGCTAAAAAATTCTCAAGATGGGGTGATAGAGATGGCAACTGTCTGTAACTCCAGTTCCAGGGGATCTGACACCCTCACAGATGTATACGCAGGCCAAACACCAATGCACATAAAAATAAAAAGGAATCATAAAAAAAAAAAACCTCTCAATATGGAGAAGCTATGTCTCAAAACAGTACCCTGAAAACAGTATTATTCCTAAAGATAGGCCTCCAACAAGAGGGAGAATAAAGAGTAAAATTCAGTTTCTAAATGCAAAGCCCACAATCTTTTTATTTATTAGAGTAAAACTAGGATCATTTAATGCACTTCATCTTTCTTTCTTTTTTTTTTTTTTTGGTTTTTTGAGACAGGGTTTCTCTGTGTAGCTTTGCGCCTTTCCTGAATCTCGCTCTGTATACCAGGCTGACCTTGAACTCACAGAGATCCGCCTGCCTCTGCCTCCCGAGTGCTGGGATTAAAGGTGTGGGCCATCACCACCTGGCCATCATCTTCCCACCAGCGCCCAAACCCTTAGCCTTGTGAACACCAGGCAAGCCCTCTACTAGTAAGTTTCGTTCCAGCACTAATTTTTCTTTTCTATTTTAAGAAAGGTCTAAACTGCCGAAGCTGGCCTCAAACTTGCAATCATTCTACCACAACCTCCCAAGCAGCAAAGATTATAGGCACGTGCCACTATGCGCAGCAAATACAGGAAAATTAGCTTATTTACTTGTTTTGTTAAATAATTTTGTCCTCCATCTAAAACTTGATAGATCTTTCCATGGTAGCACATACTTATAATCCCAGCACCTTGTGAGGTGGAAGCAGGAGAACCAGGAGTTCAAAGTCATCGTCAATTAAACAGTGAGTTCAAGGCCAACCTAGGCCACATATTAAGACCCTGTCTCTGGGAAATTAACAATTTTCCACTAAGCTGAATAGCTAAACATCAATACTAATTCAATAACCATTTCTACTTTTCTAACAGTCTAAAAAACTGCAACCCTAGCCCTTTCAAGACATAGAATGTAAGTTTAAGATTCCATTTCCTAGCTGGGCAGTGGTGGCGCACGCCTTTAATCCCAGCACTCGGGAGTTAGAGCCAGGCAGATGTCTGTGAGTTCAAGGTCAGTCTGGTCTACAGAGAGATCCAGGATAGGCACCAAAATTACAGAGAAACCCTGTCTCGAAAAACCAAAATGATTCCATTTCCTAAGCAAAGCATCGTGATGCACAGCTAGGCTCTCAGCTACTTGGAAGGCATAAGTGGAAGGATCTCTTGAAAACAGTCTAGACAACATATCAAGATGCCTGGCCTCAAAATAAAACAGAATGGGCCTGGTGGCACACAACTGTGACACTACCACTCAGGAGGGAAGGCAGGAGGATCTCTACAGTTCAAGGCCACCATGGGCTACAATACAAGCAACTGTCCCACACACAAAAAAGCAAAGTCCAAATAAATAAATAGATAAAAGATCCTAATTCTTCACCATAAATCTGTTATTTGGCCACCCAGTAAGTATAGCATCTAATGCCATTTTGGTATATACTGTTACACTACATAATAGTATCTAACCCACACCAAATGTCAACATTAAAACAAAAAAGAGCACAAACTTGACACAAAGAATGTATATGTAACATGAATATTTTATGGAGTAGTTATTTCTGCTTGGCAGAACACTAGATACAAAGGAACGGGCCATACCATAATTACTGATTTTCACAGTGTATCCTGTTGTAAGAGGAGCAACCACAGCAGCTGGCTTTTCATTGTCAAGTTCTGGTTTCTTCTGCGATTTCTGCTGCATCTTGTTCTTTATTTCCGTCTCAATCTTGGATTTTTCACTTGTAAGAGTATCACGCACTCTTTTCCTAGTGGTCTTTTCCAGCAACACTTTGACCTCTTCTAGGTCTTTCTGCAACTGTGTTATGGTAGAAGGACATTAGGATAATTAAGGCCTACCACCCAATTCAACTTACTGAAGTAAGAACTAAAAATTAAGTTCATTTCATTTTTTAAGAGTTGCAAATTCATTTCTTCTTGTTCACTGAATTGTAAATAACTCACACTTCCTTTTTATTAAAGGAAAACAATCTTAAATCAATATTAACAGTCTTTATTTTCTAGCATGGTAGGCTGTTACCTGCCGGTTGTAGAAAAGTACAAAAATAGGATTGTTCATAGATGACCTTGAAACAACAAGTCTAGGCATCAAGTCTTAGAAAAATGTAAACATTTTAGTAAAAGAGATGAGGATCCATCTGACTGAAAAGAGCGAAGGCAACTTTACTGAGGTAAGGAAGGCTGTACTCCGGTGATTTGCTTCACTGCCTTTCCTATCTCAGAATTCGAAATTTTTGACAAAAGATAAAAGATAAAATAGAGTCAGCAAGACGGCTCAGTGGGTAAAGGTGCTCACTGCCAAGGCTGGTCACTGAGTTCAATTCCCAGGATCCAGGGGAAAGGAGAATCAAGACTGGCAGGCCCTCCTGATCTTCACATGTGTTATGGTAAATAAATGTAAAGGTATTCTGCCTTGAAGAAAAAGTCTGTTCAGCAGTTGGATCCATCTTTTGGTTATAATCTGAAACCAAGAAAGGAAACCTAGATATCTAACCCCTGTGACTCATGGAAATTGGTAAATGTGTTGTTTTCTTGTTATGCCAATACATCAGATAGTCTTCTAGTTTCTAGACAGACATTTATGATGCTGTGAAACTTCATTAAAGACAATGCTGGAAAACTAATGGGCAGGGGCTGTATAGATGGCTCAGTAGTTAAGAGCCCATGCTGTTCTTCCAAGAATAGCTGCTTAGGTCCGAGCCCCCACATTAGCAGCTCACAAATCTTTATAATTCCACCTCCAGGGTATCTGATGCCCTCCATGGGCACCTGCATCCACGTGGTATATACAGGCAGATAGACACAAAAATCAATGGGCTTAAATATTTTCCCCAATCACCCTCTGACATAACTGTGAGTAAATGCTTAGGATTTTCTGCCTTGGTACTAGGTACTTGGTACCTTCGTACTAGGTAACCTGACCATAAAAACGACCTTACTTTGTACCTTCATAGTAAGTAAAAGGCTTAATGTTAAGTCTTTAAATGACCCATCTACAATTTAGAGTCCATAACAGAAAACCACAATCAAATCTCACCAGCATGACGACCTAAACATGAGCAAACAAAGACAACATAGGCATGCTAAGGTGAACAAGGAAGGGAAGCCCATGATGTCCCAACCCTATACAAAGAAATACAGGCAAACAAGAAAGGCTAAGGCATGAGAAATAGTCTTCCCCAAGGAAGAAGACAGACGTGAGCAGGCAAGAACAATTAATGAAAGAGAGGCCATGAAACTGAAGAGAGAGCAAATGGGAGGCTTGGAGGGAGGGGAAAAATGCAATGTATTATAATCTCAGGAAATAAAAGAATTTTAAAAATCTTTTAAATGCTAAGTATTAGGTAGCATCTGAAATAAAAAGGAGTTAGCCTTCATCAATCTCAAGAAATATTGATTCTAAGATCCAAAACTGCACACTCATCTTTTCAATTTAGAATCAAGGTATTTCATTCAAAGTAATCTTTCAGTGGTTTCAAAATTCATGTAGATTCTAGTATCAACATAATAAAAATACTAAAAGTAACGCAAGTACTTAGTCCCAGAATAGGGATTTACTTAACAAAAGGAGAAAGGAAACCTATCAAACCTAAGAGGTTTTGCTTTTGACTGGAATGGGAAAGCTTTTGACTCATGGCAGAATTCCCAGGCCCTCTTTATGGCTAGTTTTAGCTCTAAAGTACTCTTTAGTAAGGTGTCAACTGAAGTGACTTAAGAAGAAGCACTGCTTGGCTTTTGTATTTGCAGCCCTGAAACCAACAACAGTGCAGGTTCTGCATCCAAACTTTAAGGTGACCGAAATAGATAAAGCAGTCTCCTATCCACTTTATCTCACAATTTTTCTTGGCTTCTTGGCATGCATGTTTTCTGTATGTAAACAGGTATCTTCCTTTGAATCTATCTCCTAGTTGTTCACTACGAGCCTTAAAACCAATGTGCTTGGCCTGGCCTGGTGGCACGTGCCTTTAGTCTTACCACTCTGGAGGCAGAGGTAGGAGGATCTCTATGAGTCTGATTACCATAGCAAGTTCCAAGCCAGGACTATTTAGTGTGACCTACACCTGCAAACGAAAACTGCTCAAAACGGGAAAAGAGCCCAACTTTCCCCCTAAAGACATGGAACTGGATACCAGGTATGTACACACACACACACACACACACACAAACAGATGTATGACATCTAGGGAGACATAACAAATCCATAAGGTGGTACCACACTCACTTGAATGGTATCTTATGAACAACATCCAAGAAAATAACAAATGTTATTGAGTATATGGAGAAATACTATCTTTTATGCAATTCTTGTGGAAATGGTAGTTTCCCAAGACTTAGCCTTATTATCTGTCAACTACATGGACTACAAACATTCCCACAAAACAACAAAACTTGTTTACAAAGATTCAGAATCATCAAAAAGAGAAACTGGAAGGTGCTAACAGATGAGCATGCATTCTATCTGTATAATGGGGTATTAGTCAACCATAAAAAGGAATGGTGTACTGATATATCACAGATGAACTAGAAACATGTAAGGCACCAGCTCGATCCAATCCAACACTCAATGAATTTTTGAGGAAATGAAAAATAACACTGTGAATTGAATTGTACACCTTAATATGATTGAATAAGGTGAATTTTATCCCAAAAGAAAAATGTGTCCCTATATGCAAATCCCCAAATCTAAAGTTCCTTCCTTTGGAGAGGGTTACTACTGAACTACCTGTATGCACAACTGCTAAGCTGCCCTAGGCTCTCCATGTGAGCACATGGTGCCCGAGGCTACTTACTTGTGGCAAGATACCCGGATTAGTACTTTAAAATAACTTCATAGTTTTTCTGCTTTTAAAGCCAATGTCTTGCTTTTCAAAGTGAGGGGAAATTTTCCGAAAAGCAAATCTTAACAGATAGACAACGCTTCTGTAAACACAATATATCAATCACATAAAACCTATACAGGCCAGAAATGGAGCAATTCAATTATCATTCATATTTTGTAGCTGAGTAAACTTGAGGTTCCCAAAAAGTCAAGTCACCCATGTTCATAGTTTACAGATCTAAAAACAGACACCACGCAATTTCCTACCACTACCTACAACTAAATTTCTAATTTCTTTAAATGCATTTATTACATAAAGATCGGGGATATAACGCAATGATAGCGCGCTTGCCTAGCATGTGCAAGGCCTGCAGGTCCGCCACTGGCACTGCTAAATAAAGTGAGTCGTAAGCACTGCTCTAAGCGTTTAGAAACAACACACAGAATGTATAACCACCCCGTGGAATGAATGCGGTGCCCAAAGTAACGTGGCTAGCCGTGGAGGCACAGAATTCCTTTCAATTGCCCTCCGCCCAGAGCAATGAGCTTTGATTTAACGAGGTTCCTGTTCCCTAGCCGGTAAAAACCAGTAGAGGGGACCACGACCCGCGCCAGCAGCTGGGCTCCCGACACACCCCCGACCTTCCACCCGCCGCCGGGCGTCCAGGGCCCAGGTAGGTCGCGGCGCGGAGGCCGCGGGCCCGCGACAGTGGCAGAGCTGGGGACACGAGCCCGGGGAAAGGCGCGGCCGCCCGGCGGCGCGAGCCTGTAGGTCGAGGCCGACCCCTACCTCCTCCAAAGTGGAAGCCATGGTGCGGCGGACGGGCCCGAGGCCGGAGCTGCACCGGTGCACGGGAGCCGACAGGAAACGCAGAACACGCCACCCGAGAGCGACGCAGCGCCAGCAGCGAACTACACCGACCCGGCGCGACTCCGCGGCCCGCCCTCCGCACGCGACGACTCTAGAACCTTCGCGAGGCTCCGCCGCCGGCCCTTGAGGCCCCGCCCAGCTCCGCCCCTCCGCGTCTGGCCCCGCCCTCCAGCCGGGTCTCCTAGCAACGCTCAATTCTCGCGAGCGATCGAATGCTCAAGAAGCGTCACGCCTCTTCCTTCCGCCCCAGCAACCTAGACGTCATTCCGCTACGGCGTAACCTGGATGCGCAGTCGCAGCTGGGAACCACGGCCTAAGTCTAGCCGTGGAACTAACGCACAGCGGTTTGGGGACCCAGGGGGAAGTGTTTGGGGAAGGGCTGCTTCAGCCGCTGGGACGCGGGGCTAGCCCGGCCGCCATCTTGACTTTGGCTATTGTGAGATGTTGGGAGAAAAGAACAAAGGCGCGCCCCCAAAGCAGCACAGTTACGTCCGAAAAGGACGGCTTTGTTAGGGAGGAAGATTCCCGAAGAGAACACTGGTTTTTAAGTGGGCATTGGAATTCGGGATTCGTCCTGTGTCTAGCACTTTGGACGTGGCGCCATCTTGTAGGACTTTTGGGTTGCACGGGCCATGTGACAGGCTCCTAGGCGCAATGATGAGAAGACGGCACGTCTTCTTCAGTGGCTGAAATTTTGATTCTGCCTTTCCTTTATGAGCTATTGAAACAAGATTTCCAGTACCTTCGCTCTTTACTAACGGTTCAGTTATTGTAGTTTTCAGCAGGGTTTGGATTAAGTGGTTCCAGGTAGGAAACGTGGAGAAACTCTTAGAACTATATTCTGGTTATAGCAGCCTGGATTAGTAAAGCCCCAGCTTTTACTATCTATTATAATATTATTTTAATTTCTAACAGCATAGAGACATCTGTAACACAGTTGAGAACAAATAGTACCCCCAAAAACTGGGAGGTCAAGCAATCTGTCAGCTTTATAGATGCCTAGGGGAGTGATTAGAATCTACAAGTCAAAAGGAAAATGCTGCTATACTACATTTTACATTACACTAATGTAATTACATTACAATATGCGTGAACTCAGGCAAACCTGCACAAAATGACCTAAGTCAGGCGGGAAAGTACATAGTGTTTAGTGACATTTAAAAGTCTCAAACCGCCGGGCAGTGGAGGCGCACGCCTTTAATCCCAGCACTTGGGAGGCAGAGCCAGGCAGATCTCTCTGAGTTCGAGGCCAGCCTGGGCTACAGAGTGAGTTCCAGGAAAGGCGCAAAGCTACACAGAGAAACCCTGTCTCGAAAAACAACAACAAAAATAAGTCTCAAACCACCATTCCCATGGCCTGTAGCATTAAAAATGAAAACAAAACAAATGCCGGGCAGTGGTGGTGCAGGCCTTTGACAGAGAAACCCTGTCTCGAAAAACAAACAAGAAAAAAAGAAAAAGAAACAAGAAAATGAAAGCAATCTTTTTGGAGAGAAGACAATGACAAAATGGTACCACCTTCTAAGGTTTGGGTATTTGAATTTTTTTTTTTAAAAAAAGGAAGTAAAAGGAGGAGGACATGACAACTACTAAAGTATGGGGAGATTTTTATTGTAGATACTGTAATGATATGGCAAGGAAGGCCTTGGTGGGTTGGGCCAAGGTGCCCGCAGAGGCGTGGGCACTGCAAGTTACACCAAGGGAGAGAGAGGAAAGGAAAGCGGAGATGCACGCAGCCTCGTGGAGAAGAGGTGTTATGATTAGGTGTTATGAAAGGGTGTTATGATACTGCACGAGGGAGACCCTGGCTGGCCCGGCCAGGCCGGGCAGATGCGCTGCAGGCGCGTGGAATCAGTCACTCACACCCCAGGTACTACATCCACCTGGAGAGTTTATTTGATCGATAAAGATAGGAAGGAGAGAGGGAGAGGGGTCGAGGGTACACACCTCGTGGGAATGGAGAGAGAGAGAGAGAGAGAGCGAGGAAGAGAGAAGGGAGCAGAGCATCCCCCCCCCCCCCCCCTTAAATGAGGTTTTTTAAGTCAGGGCACAGAGAGGCCCCAAGGGGCGGGTCAGAATACTAACAAAGGGGAAAAAGAAGAAGGAGGGGAGGGTTTTTTTCCTCTTAAAGAGGGCTTTACATCAGGACACAGGGCGGGTCCCCAAGGGGCTGGCCAGAATGCCAGATGAGGAAGAAGGCAGGTAGGCAGAGGGAGGATTTCCGGCTGAACATGGCCAGCAGACTAAACCAGCTAGGAGCTGCCTCCAATCGGCCTATGCCAAAAGACCTGCATAACAAAAATGACTGAGTTATACAGAGAGCAGATTGAGGTAAGGGAACCAGAAATCCAGCCCCAGAGAGGGTATAGGGTAGGGGATAGGGTAAGGAGTGCTGGCAGGAGCCACAAGTACTGACTGAGACTTGCCTCATCTTTCTTTGAGACCTAACAGTGTTGTTTCTTGATTTGGGTACAGTTTATGAGCTGTAAACATAATGTTTGTGTGGTTGGTTTGGTAGCCTAAGGCCTAGAGGAAAATTTTTCACGGTGACAAAAGTGTTACAGGGAGTCCACCAGAGATGACTACTCTGACACAGTTTATAGACAATGAAAAGTCTTCATTCCATGGGGCTGGGACTACACTTAGGTATTTAGGACCCTAGTATAAACCTGAGTGTTTAGGGTAAGTACTATTTAAAGGCAAAAACTATATCCTGGTATCTCAGCAGATGCAGGAGGAGGTTTTGTGCAAGCAAACATTTTAACAGAAGCTAAATGGTTAGTTGGGAAATGAGGTTTGCACAAGTAGACAATCTTACCAGAAGCTAGGTTAGCTGGGGCATCTTGACCTTGAGTTCCTAGAATAGGGTTGAGTAATTTCCCATGAGATTCTCCATCAAGAAGATTGTCTTAGTTAGGGTTTCTATTTCTGTGAAGAGATACCATGACCATGGCAACTCTTATACAGGAAAACATTTAATTGGGGCTGGCTTACAGTTCAGAGGTTTAGTCCATTATATCACGGTGGGAAGCATAGTGACACCCAGGCAGACATGGTGCTAGAGAAGGAGCTGAGAGTTCTACATCCTGATCCACAGGCAGCAGGAAGAGACTGTGAGCCATGCTGGGCATAGCTTAAGCATATATGACCTCAAAGCCCGCCTCCACAGTCACACTTCCTCCAACAAGGCCACATCTACTCCAATAAGGCCATACCTCCTAATAGTGCCATTCCCTATGGGGGCCATTGCTATTCAACCACCACAGCAATCGTTCTAGTTAAACATAAAATGGCCTCAGCAAGAATACAAGATGGAGGAACCTCTGTACTGTTTTTCCCTGTCACATTACTAGTTGGCTAGTGGAGGTGTATAAAGATCACTTGAACTCTAGTTCTAGGCCAGCCTACACAGAGTAGCAAGATCCTATAGGAAGTAAAATGAACTAACAGATGTATGTTTTATTATATTTTAATTTTTCAAGTGTCCAGACAGTAAATAGAAATGAGGACTGAAATAGGAACAAATACTCTATTGTACTACATAAAAGTGTCACCTGGTTATCTTATTTATCTCATTTGCTTAGGATCAAGAGCATATTGAATCTTCTATCTAAGGCCTTACCTCATGGTCTGTAGCAAGTTCTGCAAGCTTAATCTTTAAAATGTGTGGAAACTCAAACACTTCTCATATCCTTTACTGTTATCTGCTCTCATCTCTAAGGAATTGATGCATACATTAGAAATTGGCTAAGCAAATCCTAACTCTGTAGGACAGGCAGACAGGAATGGAAGATCACGGGTAGACTATGCTCCAGATTTATCAGTAAACTGGGGGAGTAAACATGAGCTAGAGCTGGGTGTGGTGGGGCACATTTTTAATCCCAGCACCTGGGAGGCACAGATAGGCAGATCTCTGAGTTTGAGGCCAACCTGGTCTACAGAGCAAGTTCCAGGGCAGCTAGGGATACACAGAGAAACCCTATATGAGACTACCCCCCACACCCACCCACCCCCCAAAAACACCCCACAGTGTGACCTGGTTGGAACTCTATTCTTCTGGAAGCAACAGCCTTGCCTGTTTTTAAAACATTACAATTATAGAGCTAGGCCCACCTGGATTATTCAAACTCTCTCCTACACAAAGTGAACTATTTAGGGCTTTAATTATGACTTCATGGCAACAGTTTTTGACTGAAAACTAAGGAGTATAGGCAAACCAAGTTCACACATCAGAAACTGTACAACCAACTATCCCATTTCACCCACCCCAGTTTCATGCTGTCCCCACCTTCTTACTCTGCTCTTCTTTTTGCTACTTAAAGTTTATTAGTCTTTTTCCTGTTACAGCAGTTTTTCTTGCTTGGGAGCAGTTGTAGATATTTTGCTCATCTCATACAAAGAAGCCACCTTGACTTCCCTACAGCAATGGACTGTAACCTGGAATTGCGGGCCAAGTAAACCCTCTTTCTCCCTTTATTTTTAATATACTCACAGCAACAGGAAAGGAAACCAAAAATGTTCTTTTCCAGGAAGTTTGGAATTCAAGTCCTAGATGTTGAAGAAAGGTTTTTACATTGTCTCAGATCCAATTTTAAGGTCTTATTAGCTTTTAGGTTTTGAGTTCTCAGAGTTCTCTCATGTTTAAGCAGGGACTAGAATAACTATTATCAGTGCTTCGAAACTAAAGATACAAAAAAGGGACACATTTCCTACAAACATGTATCTGCATATATGCCATAAATAGTAGTTCTGGTTTTTATTCAGATATCCATGACTATACCTTAGACCTCTTGTTAGAGAAATACCTTTTCTAAATTCTAACATTCTAAAAACTCATGTTCTGGAGACAGTTCTGTTTTCTTAGCACCCTCAACTCCCTAATTATTGCTATATCAATTCTGCAGTCCTATGACATCTTTTTTCTTTGTATTGGCCTATAGATACAGATTTATGTCCATCAGTTTTACCACTTTTTTAACCACTAGGCCAGTTTCTAGACCCTGGATTATTTACTTCATCTACTTAGCAAGATGAACCATAGTTTCTCCAAACAATACTGGTAATTATTTCCATTCTCTTCTATTTCATTTTCTTTCTTTTTTAAGACTTATTTTTATTTATGTGTGATAAATATGTATTTATTTATGTCC